TACTACGAGGAGGTGGTTTGCTAGCTGTGTTGTGGCTCGGCCTGGGCACCTGCCACCAGCGAAGGTAGATGTTGTTAGCTGCTCGTTCGTGGGAATATCCGCTGTGTATAGGAGGAACAAAGTAGGCCCTAGCGCGCTTCCTTGCGGGACTCCAGCTTTAATAATGTAGTCGTCGGATGTTGTTGTATTGCACCTTACTGCGAAGGTCCTGTTGTATAGATACGACTCAAGAAGCTTGTGAGTGTAATCAGGTAAGTGTGTTTTGATTTTGTGCATGAGGCCATCTAGCCATACTCGATCGAAGGCTTGAGATACAGCGAGGAATATTGCGCTGCAGTATTCCCGATGCTCAAAGGCTGTGCGTATTTCTGATGTTATTCTACTAACTTGTTCGATTGTTGCATGGTTTTGACGAAATCCAAATTGATGAGCAGGGATAACATTGTGTGCTCCTAGATATGGTGTTATGCGAGTTAGAAGGCATTTTTCGAACAGCTTAGACAGACACGATAATAAACTAATTGGTCTGTAGGATGACGGAATTGTGTGGTCTTTTCCGGGCTTCGGTATCATAATGATAATAGATTTTTTCCATTTTTTCGGATAGTAGCCGAGAGTTATAATCCCATTGAAGAGCTTACAAATAACCTCAATGGCAGAGTTTGGAAGTTCAATTAACATTTTTGGGGTTATTTGGTCACCGCCAGGGGCCTTTTTCGGTTTCAGTTCCCCAATGACTTTCGCGATCTCCTTTGGCTGAAACAATGGTGGTAGGGAAGTAGATTCAGATTCGATTTGTGGTAGGAAAAATGAACCAGTGACAGGGTTCGGCTGGAAGACGTTTCTTAGATGTAAAGCAAAAGTTTCGGCTCTATCTTCGTCGCTGCGGGCCCAGATGCCAGATGAGTTTCTTATCGGAGTGACTGTTTCGATTGGAGAGCTCAGATTTGGGTGAGCCCTCCACAGAGGATATTTTGTACTGGTTGGCCATAGTTCTTTAATGTACTGCAGCTGTGCATTTTCTGTTTCTTGCTTTAGAGCTCGATTTAGTGAGCGAGTGGCTTCCTTAAGACGTTGTTTTGATGACGGCGACCTGTTGGTTTACCAGGCACGTCGCAGGCGCCTCTTTTCTAGGACTAACCGTTAAATTTGCAGATTAGTTTTGAAGTGGTTGCCTTGCACGTCCCTGCCTTGTGGTGTTGAGATAGTGGCTGCCTCCACGAATACTTCTTCAAGAGCATCGGTAGAGCAGTCGATGTCCGCTTCGATGTTGAAGTGAGGGGTTAATTTGATGTGTGAGCTTACATACTTTTTATATTTTAATCAGTTTGTTCTGTGCGACGTCAGCCTGAGGGGGTGATCTGTGGTTTTTGTGCTTTGAAGAAGAATTATTAGCACTGGCGAATGGTCTGACGACAGGTTCGAAAGCGCTTTGGCGCTTATTATATTGCGGAGAATGTTTTTTGACACCGCAAAGTCTATTAGCTCTGGAACTTTCTTTGGGTCTGTTGGCCAGTATGTGGGGCTGCCAGGAGAAACGTAGTCTTATTTGTTGTTCGGTTTTATGATTGCATTGTATAATTGCCTTCCTTTGGGAGTCACAAGGCGTGATCCCCAGTGCGTGTGTTTGGCATTATAGTCCCCTGCAGCTATAAAGCGGTCTCCAAGCAAATTGTAGAAGTCCATGAATTGTCCTTCAGAAATTGTAAAGCGAAGCGGGCAGTAGACAGCGGCTATGGTGAGGTTTCCGTTGCCTGACTGCACTTTGATAGACGTGGCTTGCAAGTAATTAGTTGAAAACCTTTGGTGAAAGTGGTGCTTGATACGTTCCCTGATTAGGATGCCGGTTCCGCCGTGGGCTTTACCATCTGGATGGTCTGTGCGGTAGAAAGTGTAGCCTCTTATTTGGAAGTTGTATTTGTTTGTGAGGTGCGTCTCTACCAGTAGCATAATGTCGATATGATTTTCATTCAGGAACTGTGTTACTTCAAGGTTGTGCCGTGAAACGCCCTTGGCGTTCCACATTGTTATTCGTAGATTTGCCATCTGATTATTTAGACTGCTTAGCTGCAAGTAGCTGTAACACCATGTTCTGGTTTTGAACCAGTGTTTGCATGGTCGTTTTCATGAATGTTGCACGGTGACCATCATAGTTTCCAGAGTGCTTTGCGACTGTTCTAGGATCTGCTGAGCGTTTCCTAGATTAGACTGGAGTGGGTTTTCCGTCCCCGATCGAAGGGCATCGGCGTATGAGAATCCCTTCTGGGTATTTAGTTGACCAAAGGAGGATCTTGTAGCCGTGCCGAAAAATACTTCCGGCGTCGTACGCGAGTAAGTGTACGCATTTTGGGTATTCTGATGACGCGTTGCTATCACTTTTCGCATGCGGTCCTTCATCTCCTTGTAGACCGGACAGCCCCTGTAGTTTGCCGTTTGGTTACCTTGGCAGTTGCCGCATTTTTTCTTTTTGGGGTCTTCTTTGTTGGCAGGGCAGTTAGCCGAATTGTGGAAGTCTCCACAAGCTAGACAGACTGTTCGAAGCGAACAGTATGCGCTGGTGTGTCCATACTCCTGACAGTTTGTGCATTGCACTGGGCCGTTCCTTTTATGTGGCTCTTCCACGTTAATTTTTCGATGCAATAAGTATTGCAGGTTATAAATGGGGTGCACTTCATTTTTCTTCAAGTCTCTGCTGTCTGGCTCCAGCTCGACCCTGAAGAGTGGTTGCGGCTCTTTTTTCCTGTTTATAATGTTACTGACGTTCTTTGCAGAAAACCCTTTTTCCTTGAGAGCATCGATAACTTCCTTGGCGGTTACGTCGGGCTCGATTCCTTTTATTACCACTTGCAGGCCCTTGCTGCTTTTTAGTTGGTATGTGTAGTAGCTTTTCCTAGCTTCCTCCAGGTATTTGGATACTGCTCGGAAATGTTCTTCAGATTTGGTCTGAAGCTTGGTTTCATGGATATCCCCTTTTGTGACCGGAACAACATGAAAGTTTTCGTCCCCGGTCAGCGCAATAATTTTGTTGACCAGGGCGTTCGACATTTTCTCCCTAATGTAAATTGGTGGGGGCTTAGGTTTCGGTTGGGTCTCCTTTTCTGCTAGAAGCGCAAATCAATTGCTGTCGGATCTCCCGGGTAATATATCTTCTACTTGGACACGGTTTATTTTTGACTTGTTACCTACCGCGGTGTTCTGCGGGCTAGGCTTACGCTTGATATGGATGTACCGATCTAGTCCAGTCTGTATGGCCGGACCCGCTTGCTGAATTTTGTTTTGGTTTTGATTTGTTGTCGTGGTTTTTGTTTCCGTTGTATTTAGAGCTGCGGTTGCAGTCGATTCCGAAATAATAGTCGTAGCTGTGGTTGTCGTTGGTTTTTTTGCCGCAGCTGTAGTTGTTGCTGACAAATTTAGTGAGGATGCAGAAGTTTTACCGTTGCATGTTGTTGGTGCGCCAGGGCTCGAAACTGATGGTGGGGGGGTTTTGCATTGTTGACTCCACGCCGTCGGAGTAGGGGTAGCCGTAAGTAAGCATGGTGAGCAAGATCGTGCTCTTTGGCTATCGACCAACAGTAGGGTCGTTTTTTGCACTTCGCTATCACGCGTTGAGACATACGAAAAGTAACCGTCTTTTCGGCTCGCGGAGCTGAGTCGCTCTTTATTCTGTTCGTAGCTCATTGAGCTTATATTAGCGTGGCACTTATTTATTATTATAAGATGAAAAAAATGTATGTGCTAGTTAAAGTCATTACACCGATTTTGTGTTGAAACCTAAATTTCTTTGGGTTTTAGCGTCTTTTCGCTTATTTGAAATTAACCAGTTTAGTTTTTGTGTTTTGTTTGCATTTAATTTATCAACTTTCTTGCACTTTTCGCGGAGCTCGCACAAGACACGTCCACTCTCTTCAGCGGTCGTGAAGGGCTCTTCCAACGGTTACTACTAGCGAGTGTAGTGCCGTTTCCACAGATTTCCCTTTGGTGTAGGCGTGCTGGTTGGATGACATGAGTCTTCCTACATCGTTTCTGATGTGTAGATCCAGCAGCTTTTCCCGTGTTTTGAGTATGGAAGAGGTAAGGCTTATCGGCCTGTAATCCTTGGTGCTTACGTGACTGCACTTTCCCGCTTTTGGGAGGAAGACAATGCGAGAAGTCCTCCATTGGATTGGTATATAGCCCGTGCTTAGACATGCCGAGTATATTTCATATAGGCATGGGGCCTTGGTCACCTGTAATATGGCTGGAAATATTCCATTTAATCCTGGTGCCTTATAGGCCGCAAAGGAGTCTGTAGCCCAGTTGATTTTCCTAGGCATTGTTAGATCGTTGCTTCGAAAGCAGCCTCCGGAGTCTAGTTGTTTCCGGGACGTTCTGGATGCTGGAGCAGAAGTTTCTTCACGAGCTTATCTGTGCCCTGCGAGATTCCTTCTTGTGATCCCTAAGTAGGACTTTGATTTCCCCGTTGATTATCTTATTGTCTGCCTTTTTGGCGATTTTGAAGACTTCTCGTAGGTTATCTCTTTTTTGTGTCAGTTCCCGATTCCACCATGGCGACTTGGTCTTCTTTCTTGTTCTTGATGTCGGGCATGATGCGTGATACGCATTTAGTAATTCATATATATATCTTTCACGGATTTTACTACGCCCGGGCTAGTCGCGAGTTTCGAGGTAACTGTCCTTGTAAACTGTTTCGGGGGTTTCTAAAGACAGTTACCTTTGGAGTACTTTAAAAATCATACCTGAACTGAATATACCTATGGTCTGAGAAGGATGGTGTTCTTAGGACTTTTTATTCAGAGACCGAAGTACTCTGTCCCTTTACACGCGTTATATCTAGCACGTTTGACGAGGTAGGACCTTCGAAGATGTGTTCTCCCCCACGTTTGCTATATAAGTTAGTGATAGAACAAAGTCTAAGAGTGACTCACCTCTGTCGTTGGCATTTGCACCAATGAGGAGTTGGTCATTCTTCGAGCCGAATTCCACCAAGCTGCTCAGGTCGTCTGGTGGCGCCGGTCTGTCGTGTGCCATGTAGCAGGCTACCAAGAGGCGCTGCTCATTGCTTTCTAGCATCACGGTAGTCAAGTCATCAGAACTGTAATGAGGCATTAGGTTAGCATGGATACGCTTCCGTACAAGTACGGCGCTTCTGTTCCTGCTTACCGTTCGGAGTAGAATGTATTGTTGTTTGAGGACCTTAGTCCGGCCACGATATTGCTCGAGGCAATCCATGACTCTTGAACTAAGGCTATGTCGACGGGCCCTTGCTTCAGGGCAATCAGGAGCTCCGCCGCAATCTGAAGCACCTTCAGTGTCATGGGTGGCTGGCTTATCTCCGCTCGACGGGTTGGCTATGACAGTCAGTTCACCGTCCTCTTCGTTCTCCGAGTCGTCTAGCGCAAGGTCCTGGTCGGCTTCCACGATGGCTTCCAGACCTAGGTCCTTCTCCACCACGCCTGCCTGCAGGATGTGTGCGCCTTTGTCGTCGGGGTGGCGCTTCTTAAGACGCAGGTAGACACTACCCAAGCCCCACGCCATCTTCCCGAATCTTGGGTTCTGCAGAGCGTCCGCCTCCTTGTTGATTTGGAGAACCACACATTGCCCCCCCTCGTTGGGTAGTGAGCTGACCATGTGCACAATCTTCCAATTCGATCCCCTTGGATTGCGATGGGGAAGAGCAATTTCGCATTCGGCATGAATGGGATGAATTCCCTTTCCACCACTTCTAGCTTGGCCCCCTCCCAAAACGCCTCCAGTTGGCAGACCGATTGCGTTAGCCACCTTCTGGTCGGATCGTCTTTGCACTTCAGGATTTTGACACCGTTCAACCACCCTGCACCATCGATTGTGGGCATGGGGTCTGTTGGTGCCTCTTCCATCCGTGCATAGAGAGACTCAACGAGTCGCGCATGGACGATCTTCCAGCGCGCCTTCGACATCTTCCCGTTCTCGTCGTTCCTGGCGGTGGGTGATATAAGGGAAACTTTATTGCAAATATGTATTTATTTATGTACATATGGATAAACATGCTATATGCCATCTCTAGCTTCGCGAAACTCGTGCTTAATACTGAATTTAAGAATTTTTACCTGACTCTTCCAAAAATATGTCCATTTTCCTCCAGTTTTCTTATCCACCAACACACAACAATCTTAAGGAAACGTTTGGATATATTTAATAATTTGTAAGCAAATTTTTTTTAATTACCGTTATTTGCACGTCTTTCTTCTCTTCTTATTCACAGTGGTTAAATATATCTTTATGATGGATTCGACATATCGAATTTTTCAAAACCGGATCGATGCATCGACCGAAAAAAAAATCAATGTAATCGATGTTGACACCGATTTTTTCCCAGCTCTAATAAAGAGACCTTTATGAAAATCATGAAATCATGTCCATAGTCCATTCATCGCTTGAGGGGTAGCTTGTATAACCTCAGCCTCATATAAAGCTTGTGGGAGGGACGTCGCGATATTGCTCACTGGAATTGGAACATTTACAACAACTTCTTTTATAGCACTTTGACGCTCATGACCTATCGAAATGGAAAGCGAGGTAAAATCAGTCGTTCCTCCAAGATCGTAAGCCCCCTCAAGGAATGCGAAACTTCTGGGAAGTCTAGGCCTTTGAATATGGCACCTTTGGACTTTCTGCCGGCTTTTATATTGCTGTGACAAGTTGCACAGAACTTAAAAGATTGACAACTGAAAGATGGTGGCATTCTGGTAAATCTCTTCCCTGAACTCACTATGTTTTCCAAATAGGATCTAAGAAGCTTATTTCTTTGCTTTGGAAACCACAACTCTTTACAACAAAGGCAAATCTGATAAAGACCAAGCTTTACTTTTCTATTAAAAGTGACTATAAGAACTTTCAATTCAGTAGGGTTTCTACTGGGCCTATGCTCCTGAGAAACACTAAGCCGTATCTCCTGACTTTGGATTGAGTTCCGAATGTTTTCTGCTTCCCTATTTCCACTAAGGCTTCTATACTGACTAACTCTTTGACATATATTTTTAATTGCATCGATAGTTGCTTTTCGAGCCGGTGTATTTTTTTACCTGATCGACGACCTAAAACGTCTAGCTGTAGCACTCCTAGCCATATCCTGCGCTCTTTCCAACAGGTGATTCTAAGTTGATCTACCCTGTGCTCGTTGCACGGTATTTGCTTTTTGCTCACTCGCACGGTACGTAGGAGCCAAGCGCCTAATATAACGAAATCAAGTATCGGCTGCTTGTTCACCCGCACGAAAAACAGGATCCAACCGCCTTTCCGAGTGGTCAGCTAGATTCGTCGGAAGGTATGTAACAGGCAGAAAGAAGCGTTTCCGACCCCATAAAGTATATATATTCTTGATCAGGATCACTAGCCAAGTCGATCTAGCCATTTCCGTATGTCCGTCTGTCCGAAACTAAAAGAGCTACAATACTGGGATTCCTGAGATTTCTGCGCAGCGCAAACTTGTTTCAGCAGGGTGCCACGCCCACTCTAACGCCCACAAAACGTCCAAAACTGTGGCTGTATCCCCTATAACCCGCTCTCCCCTAACCACCTGATAAAACAATATTCTGAAAATAGTAAATACAAGTAACACATACATATTTTTGAAAGAACTTAGAGTAAAAGTAAAAGGGTATAATAGATTCTTCAGAAAGTATGCGACCGGCCTTAGCCCCTACAGATTTGATGCTAAAATACAAAAAAAATTTAAATAAAATGTTCTGCTCTCATTAATAAGCCCAAAAAACGCCCAAAATCGTCCGTCTGAAAGCTGATAACTGGGAAGCTCGAAATTTTTTATTAAGATTGTAGATTAGCGCTTGACAGTATCCCATTAAGCGGGGATAGGGAAAAAGCTCTGCTCAGCCTCTGCCAGCCAACGTACAGTGCAGAAAAGTACAAAAATTTTTTTTGTGGTCTTTGGACAACAATCTTCTTCCCTGAAATGGAATAGTTTGTTGTTTTTTACCTGTTTTTATGATATTAAATTGCGGTTATCGCTCTTTGGCGTAGAGGGGCGCATTTTTGTCAATTTATTTTTTCTCTTTACTGATCTACAGAATACCATATCTCCTAAAAATTCGGCGAAGTCATTTTTTTCTTACAGTGGCGAAAAAAATAATAGCACCATTTCAATACATTTTCTTCTGCGTAAAATAAAATTGTTTTTAGTGTTTGTTTTTTTTCAACACAAAATTTTTTTTTTGTACTCTTTAGTATTTTTTCTAACGAAAAAATGTGTTAGCTTATTTTTAAATCCTGCCTATAAATTTATTTTTAAGAGTTTTATTAAAAGAACCCAAAAAAGGGCGAAAAAAATAGCACCACTACAACATTTATTAGCAAAAACCCCATATTTTGATGAATAGCCATTGAAATGAGACGTGGAAAGTATTGCACTGAGGAAAAGTGTGATATCATCCAAAAGTTGATAAAGGATGGAAAATCTTACAGAGTAGTTGTTCGATTGGTCGGATGTTTAAATAAAATGATTAAGAACGCTCTAAACTATAAAGAAAAACCTGAAACACGAGGACGAAACCAATCTATGACCGCCCTTCACGTCAATCGATTGATTCGTCAGAGCTAGAAGGATCCTTTCAAATCTGCTACTGAGCTTAAAAAGGAGCTTGAAATAAATGCGACGGTGCAAACTCTGCGTACATATCTCAGGGAACCTAACCTAAAAACCTGCAGCCCGAGAAAAGTACCATTTTTAAATGGCAGACATATATCTAAGCGAATGAAGTTTACCAAGGATCATTCAAATTGGTCACCCGATCAGTGGAGGAATATTTTACGGTCAGGTGACAGCAAGGTGATTATGTTTGGTGGAAAAGGATCCAGATGGTATTTCAGACGTCCAAAGAACTCGGAGTTTAAGCCCCAGAACACCACAAGGACCATAAAGCATGTAGGGCGTAGTGTGATGGTATGGGCCTGCTTTTCTTATTACGGAGTAGGCCCGATACATTGGATCAAGGCCATCATGGACCAGCACGTATACGTGGATATCATGGATACCATTATGCTACCTTTCGCAGAGTATGAAATGCCGCTCGTGTGGGTCTTCAAACAAGATAATGACCCCAAACATACCAGCAAGAAGGCAAAGAAAAGGTTTGGGGACAACTCTGTGAACGTTACGGTGTGGCCTCCGAAGTCTCCAGACCTTAATCTAACAGAGAATCTATGGTCGGACGTCAAAAAGGCTGTCGCTGCATCAAAACCAACATCCATCGGATCCCTTTGGGGAGTAATTAAGGAGTCCTGGACTCAAATTTCCATAAAGCGATGCAAGAACCTAGTTGACCCCATGCCAAGACGCTGCGCAGATGTTATTTCCAATAAAGGATACACCACAAGGTATTAAATGAAGAATGTAAACATAGATTTAACAGTTCAATATTGTTATCTCATGAATATTGGTAGTTCCTATAATTTTAAACCCATTTTTGAAAAGTGGTGCTATTATTTTTTTCGTTAAGTTTTTCAAGTTTTAGTAAAGTTTCTTAAATAAGTTAAAAACTAAAAAAGAAATCAAAATTTTTTTTTTCACTTTCTGATACTTTGTTGCAATTCGATTCCAAAAAGGTATTGCATGTTTTGACAGAGCTAAAAATATAGGTAGGGTGACTATCCAAACATTGCTCGAGTAAGTGGTGCTATTATTTTTTTCGAAGCTGTACGTCCCCGACTACGTTTTGGACCGCTTGATCAAGTATTACTACATCTTTGGTCATCGACTGGCACCACCACTATGAAAACCATACATATACTTCAACAATATCCTTATTATCAAATATTACCTTCAACTATTCTTGCCCCTCAGGGCATGTTTTGAGTTTTTGCAGAATATCACTGAATATCAGAATGAAAAGCAAAAAAAATATTGAAAAACGGTTTGACACATCATTTTGCTTCAGAAAAAATTTTATGAAAAGCGAGCGACCAATGTCCAATCTCGAACATAATACAAAAATATTATCAAATCTGACAAACGCCGCGCAACGAGCTGCAGAAAAGTTTCAAGTGTTGGACTTATATATTAACGGCTTTCAATAAGAGCGCCACTAAAGTTTTTTTTAAAAAAAAAATAAAAAATAGTTTCGGCGTCAAATCGCAAGACCGAGCTGGGCCTTTTCGTTCACCAAACTTGGTTTTTTAATAAAACAATTGTGACATTAGCTATGTGGTTTGTGGCGCAGTTGCGTTGGAACCACATTGTGTCCAAGTCCATCCAATTCGGCCCAAAACTATTGGGTTATCATTAAGCGGTAACGGTTCCCATTCACAGTAACGTGGCGGTCTTTATCAGCATGGAAGAAGTGTGGCCCAATGTCGCTGCCGTCCCATAAACCGCACCAAGCCTCAAATTTTTTCGGGATGCAACGGTGACTCATGGAGTATGTGTGGACTACTGGTTGTCCAAGGCCATTCAGCCCGTATTGAGCGTTCTCAATGAATATGGCCTTTCGCTCTTAAAGATAAGGCCACTGACTCCAAATTTCGGTAGTAAGTTTTGTTACGTGGGCATATTAGTGTCCGAGTCCTGACAGGGACTTATGCCGAGGGAGAGGCGTCCGTTGTCCAGGCTACGTCGTGTTTGGGTCGTGGGATCTTGGTAAGCCTCTCTGGCTGTCGCTTTCGCCGTATTCCCTCCCCTTCATATATTTGTGTGCCAAATGGGGGCCGTGCAATACGATCCCCTATTGTAAAGGTTGTCCGTCGAAAGTTATGTCATTGTTCTTGACCTACTCCACTTCTCGCGTCAGCACTCCCTCCATGATAAAGCTCTACCACATGGTAATTTATCGGCGTGCGCAGTGGATGAGTAATATAGTATTAGCAAAAAATACATCGTGGGGCGTGGGCTTTGCATTTCCTGTCAGTTCCCCCACCTTCCATTTTGTCCTGGATCGACAAACGAACAGTAGACCCCACCGCAATGGCTAAATGCGTTACCGTAGTGCTTGTGCTCCTGCTCCTTCTGGACTCGAATCTCTCAAACGACCTAGCCTAATCATAGCACGTCGGCAGCGTCAGCCAGAAAGTACATATAAATTGTTTTTACGTTAATTTCAACAAATAGTCGGTCAGCACGTAGTTTTATAGTATTATAATAAGGAAATCTCACAGTTCTTGATTTAAGGAAATTCTGGTAAATTTGGAAATTAACAAAACAGGGAATTTCTACGATTGAAAAAGACAAAAACTTAAACATCTTAAAGTCAAGCCACTACTCTGTGACAAAGTTCTGATTGAGTGGCCACTCAACACTGACAGTCATAGAAGTCGGGGACTTTAAGGTTACTAGTTTAAAGACAAAGACAAACAAGTATATATCGAGATTGTGGACCCTAGTAAAATTCCTTAAGAAATATGAAAAATTCAACCGTTGGGCGCCAATTCTGTTCTGACAGGGACTTGTGCCGAGGGAGTCCGATGTTCAGGCACCATTTTCCGGCATACCCTACGTCGTTATCGGGTCGTGGGATCTTGGTAAGCCTCTCTCCTCTTCAACATAACTAGAATAAATACATAAAGTGCCTGGAAAATACTATTAGTCCATAAAGTTAGTCAGTCGTCACTACACACTGCCCCACAAGCTTAGCTGTCGCTTGGACGCAATAAGATCGGGCTGTATTTCGGCCATATTCCCTCCCCTTCACACAATGCATCGTGCAATACCATCCCCTTGTTCTTGACCTACTTCACTTCTCGCGTCAGCACACCCCCTTGTTAAAGTTCTAGCACTTCATGGTTTTTATTTCTTTTTCACATAATAAATTTATTGAATACTATACGAGTATTTCGGCGTGCGCCGCCGATGAGTAATATAATATTGGCTAATGCATATGAAATTAATATATTTGTCAATTTTTTTTTTACCACAAAGTATCGAATTTACTACCTGTTAAGGTGCGCACATCAGCAAAACGCTGACTATTTACGACTACAAACGTCGCTCAGAGGGCTCTTGCAATTGCACACATAACTACAAGGCTGATACTCGCCGCTGAAAAGTTTATAACAGTAGTCTATAAAGTTGTAGGACACTGAACGAATATTTATATATGTATGTTTATAAGAACGGAATCGTGTTCCGGAAAACTTGCCCCCTTTTCAAATCCTGTGCGATGAGATCTCGACTTCCCCGGGTCCTGGGCTTTGAAAAATATTATATTGTATATATATAAAATATGCTTTTTGTTAATATATAGCGGAGTTTTTATTGGTTAAGTTCTTTCAAGTTTGATTCCCAGTCTTAAACTGATTTTACAAAATGCATTATTCTATATTCTATTTATTCTATGGTTCTTAACAGTGAAAGCGACGCGA